ATAGGAAAATGGATGTTGAGGAAAAGGTTTGCGGTGCAAAACATCCCTTTTCCTGCTCTTTTTCTTGCTCCACGAAAGTATGGTGTACATTTACGGTTGTATGAAGTTTTTCATCCCTCATTTCCGGCTGTGCGAAAGTAAGAAAGTTTCGACAGTGGATGTGCACGAAAACAATGCGGTAATTGTGTTTCCAAGGCGTGTCTTGTTGCCGTGGGGTCATTTCCGTGATCAAAGCCGAAACTGAAGATCCCTAGCTTTCATCTTGTTTTCCCTGCACTGGAAGTGGAACAAGCGATCGGAGGAAATTTATCGGTATTTTTAGAAGATTCTAGTGGAGTTTAGTGACGAAGAAAATAGCTATGACGTTTTGATGGAATTTTCGGGGATGCAATTTCCGTTCACGGCGAGAAGTACGTTCTAAAAATAGGTTCTCCGTTGAATATTGCTGGGAAACCTGGAAAAGCATGCCTAGGTCCCGTTTGGGTTGTCATAATGTCTCATCAGATTTTATTTGTTTGTTGCATTCATGTTCTGTAGTTCTCCAGATGGCTTCACGAATCATTCTCGGCGAAGAACTTTTTTGGGTTTAATTAAGAAGCCCGAACAGCGAATTTTTCTCGGTAATACGAACATTTCTTTCAAGATACCGACGCAAATGAAATAGTTCGCGGAAAGCTTGGGTTCTGAGCAAAATATTCACAAGTTTCCGCTGTTTATTCTATAGATACTTTTTTTCTCTTCGCGCCACTTGTTCTTTAAATTACACAGAGGCTAATAATAGTGTGTACGTATGATATTTTCAATTTCGGTTAATGTGAGAATCCGTCATAGATTTCGGCATTCATTCTTCACTGATTGGAAATCAAGTGGGAATTCTGTATTGAAGGCGGAAATATTTCTGAATCAGAATACTGTACAGTTTATGTTCCGGGTATTTTATGCGTTTTTGTTGTTGTAGCATCTTTTAAAATGAAGGAGTCCTTTTTCAATTATAGTGAGGGATAAATATTCGTAATCCGAAGCTTGAATATGCTCACGGCTTGTGAAGGTGTATTCGTCGACGCATCTGAACCATGGAATCGCTAGAATATTACATCTCGGTCTTGCCTCGCCTCCGTGCCAAGATTCAAAGAGCTTTCAGATGGGTAAGAAAGTTTTTTCGTGGGCCACGTGTATTACGTATATCTCTGGTGCTCTTCATCCAATTTCCCCTGGCCCGAGGAGAGAGAGAGAGAAATGCCCAGGAACGCGCACCCGGGCCCCGGGTTCCGCACTCGCCGAGATTAATCAAAGCGCAACGGGCCGAGTATTCATTGCGGCGCCAAAAAGCCGACTGGTGTAACTATACTTGCCGTCCCTCGAACTGACTGCTGGTGACGCTGTGAGCATGAGCTCCTCTTTCCATCAGACTGGGATTCCAGGTCTTTGCTGGGGGGAAAACGGAAGTAAAATAGAAGACAAATATGGGCAAGTTTCTGTAAATTCAAGAAGGTTTTTCGATTTCACTGTATTGATGACTTTTTTTCTCTCTCTCGTATTTCACGTGTGGTTTATGACCTATTAAAGGCAGGAGCTTTTTCCATGAGACAGGTAATTTAGGTCTTGGCTGAAAAAATACAAACAGAGACTCTTGCTTTAAATTTCACCAGACTTTTCGATGCTAATTTTTTTTTAAACGATTGTGTTGTAGATCTCAGATGTCGTGTGTATTTAAGGCCTGTGGGGTTTATGTACCAAAAAACCGACTGGAATTATTACAAATATTTTTGACGCCTCTCCGAGAAATTGATGACGCCGAGAACAAAAGCTCTTCTAACTGAGGCTTATTCTCATAATTTCTTGATGATTACCTTGTGGACCTAAAATTCGCCTGTTTTATGCCCTCTGGAGGATTTCCTGGACGAATCTGTCCACTTGGTGCTTCTGTCGCATCTTCTAAGGCAAATGCGAGGTGCGAGCTTCTCAGATTTAGTTTAGTTAGTTTCCTTGCATGTGTTTAGTTACGATCGATTTCATTATGTTTTTTTATGGATGACATATACGAGGGTTGGTTCATAAAAGATGATTAGCTGTCACTTGCCCTCATATTGGAGGCTGATGCAATTTTTTTTTCTTTTGCTCTTCAATCCTTCATTGGTGTCTAATAAATTTTTCATCAATTACCCAGCTACAGAAGGAAACAAGAAAAAGACCTGGATCAGAGTGAATGCCCTCCACTGAAGTGAAGTTTAATTTAGCAAGAGCAGCTGCATGCGCACTATGACTTTGGGGGTTAATTGTGAACTTCACTTCAGTGGACGGTATTCACTGTGATCAAGGTCTTTTTCTTGTTTCCTTCTGTAGCGGAATAGTCATGAAAACATTTTTAGACACCAATGAAGGATTGAAGAGCAAAAAAAAAATTGCATCCGCCTCCAATAATGGCAAGTGGCCGTTTATCATCTTTTATGAACCAAACCTCTTATCCTGTGAGTTACGAAGTGGGCATTAGATTAATTTGAGTTAAACATGTGTTTACTTTACTTGAATGATCTGTTCGATATTATTCAGGTGCTCCTTATGACGACTACAAAATCAACTAAAGCTGTTCTGTTACCGTATTTATGCCATACTGTACACATTGATTGAGTTTGGCTGGAATTATGAGTTACTGTAATTGTAACGTATGTATTATTTTTGTCGTTACTGATGATGCATAGGTTAGCTTACTTGTGGTTCACGTGCATGAATACGTGAATCATTACTCACGTGTACAATGATATTAATATTACTGTGTATCCGCAAGATCACAAGTGATGCATTAGGTTGGTTATAACGTGTATACAGTATTAGGAACGGTATGGGTCGAACATTATGTTACGTGTCAATCTAATACCCCAGTTAGGCATACACCCAACTGTACTGCCTAATACAACGGTAAAAACGCTGTCGCCTTGTACCTTATTATTACCATGCCATAACATAAAGCTAACGTCCGGTCCAGTCGAAATACAAATGAAGGAACTGCTTTACCTCGCCGATTTCCTGCGTTGAAGGGAAATCTGAACCAAAATACTTATTTAAAATTTGATTATAGAATATTATTTTCGGAACTTAGAACGAAAATCAAAATTTAATTTTCTAGAGAAGGCCAAAAATCACGCAATGTTCCAGAATCATTCGCGTGAGTTTTGAGAACTTTCTGATTACGTTATTTTTTTTTTGCGCCTCTGATGTGACGCATCGAATCCTAGACTAAAGCATTTATTTCATAGCTTTTCTTTTGAAGAATATCGCGTCTTTCTGAAGGTCTAGTGGCAGTTTTGTGCAAGAGAACGCATGTGTAAAGTGCCTGAATGAAATTGAACCTACTTTTTTTTTTATAGGAAGAGTCGTTTTTTGTCCCAGGGGAAACGGAAGCTGATCGTGTTCTCACAGAAGAAATCGTGACAATAATTGATTGTGCACTTTGAAGTGCTAATGCATATTCGTCTTGTCTGTTTAACTGCCTCTCTCTGCAATAAAATTCAAGGAACAAAAAAATACGTTGTAAAGAGAATTTCGTTGTTGAGAACCCTTGTAACTTGGAGGGTGAATCCCATGGGGCCTAAAAGGTTTCGTTATGCACAAAAACTCATTATAGACAAGATCGTTATTGACTCTGCCTGTATTTCTTTCCAGCTGTCTTCGGTAAAACCCCCCAATCTCGAACAAAGACAGAGTCTTGATCAATAATTAACCTAAAGAAATATACCACTTACTGGTGTTCCATGGGGAAATTCTCTTTCGGATAATTTGACGAGAAAAACTGGGGCGTTGGGTTGGAGTAATTATGGCGCATCGGAATTCGCGGGAAAATTTTCAAGAATCTTTTAGCAAAGATCACCGGTGCACAGAGCGTGTAACCGCGCACAATGAGCTCACACATTACGCCCATACGTTTCGTAAACCTAAGTTAAACGAAGAGCAGCTAACACCTAGCAACAAACTTCACTTGTACCGGAAACTACGATGGTGAAGCTTTATGCATTAAATATATTTTTATTTATTGTCTGGAGAAATATTCGGGGAGTTTTCGTTAAAGACTTATTAACATTTTTTTCATTATCTCAGCATATAAAGCTATCCTTCCAACCTGTGATAAGTTATTTTTAGTTAAATTCACGTGCAAATTTCGATGGAGGGGAGAGAAAAGAATATGCTGTATGATGGTTTTTAATCTTGTGGGAAGGTTTTTCAATCCCTGGAGTCATATCACATTTATAAGTTGCACTCTCTGCTGGATTAGATTCCGACTTGGAATTATTCTACGGGGCGGATAAAACTTCAGTCCATTTGATAGGAATATTTACCCCTTTGACCTCTCATGAGTAATTTCAAATTTTCTGCGCTTCGAAGTTTTGCTTTAAAATGCTGCGCAATGATCTTTTTTCCTGATGGGTTTAAATTTAATATAGAGTTTTCTTGATTAGTTCCATGATAATTACTATCGATTCGGTGGTACGGTACGTCAGACTGGTTAGATTACGTTTATTTTTTAAAAAGAAAAATTCATGAATTGCTCCATTTTCACCATAAATAAATAAATCAAGGCACGGTTTTCCTAATAACCAAAAATTTGCATTCTTTTTTTTCAAAATTTCACGATGGCTTCAATGATTTCTTTAATCATCATGGAATATAAAGAGAAAATTGAATTTTTCCTTTCCTAGGATAACAGAGTTCGAAATCAGACAAATGATTCAAAAGAATCAAAGAACAAGTGACTGTTAGGATGCCTCATCTCCTCATGACTTGCTCGTCGGGTATTGCTGAATTTTTAAGAAAAATAGTAATTTAAGATGAGCTTTTCGTACGAGCGAAATTTTTTTTTTTTCGTCTTCAAAATGTTACGATGACTTCGATGATTTCTTTGCAGGCTGGGAAATAATTGCTGATTCCGCTGGGATAACGGGGCTCCTGGGTGTGCGTCGACCGTGCTAATCAGTGGAAGGGAAAGGCGGTCCAAGTGTGGCGGATTTATGATGGGACAATTGTGGAAGCGGATCCCGTGGTGCGGTCGACGGGCGTCGGCCGTCTACGTCGTCTGGGCCGCGGCGTCCTTTGTCGCTGGAGGGATTCTCTCTGGTGAGTGAGTTTTCGGATGAAGGATTCCCTGCGGTCTCGTCTCGTCTCGCGTTGCATTTAATTTACAAATAATGCTTGTAAAAGCCTGGGCAGAAAGATTTGAATAAATTGCTTCCGTTGATTGTAATGCGGTTTCCCTTCACTCAAAACAAACACCGCGAGGGATTTATACCGAACGAGAGGGCGCGAGAGTACTTGAGGCCCGGGATTTGTTCGGCTGAACCAATTTTCGCATGAATGTGCAGTATTTTATTCAGCTTTTGAACTGGGGCAACCAAGCCTCAAATTTATTTGTAAAAAATGAAAATGAAAAAATAAAAAAGAGGGAGGGTGGAGCACAACGAAAAAATATATTCTTCTCTTTTTCAGAGCAACCAGTGCCCCAGATTTCGGCTTGCTTTCGAAATTCAAGCGCAAATAAACTTACAAACACCCTGTATGATTCAAGTTTTCCATGCAATTTTTCTTGGGAAAATAGCCTGGGTCATACTCTCCGAAAACCCTTCAGGACCCAACAAAGAATTCAGTCAGGGCTTCGGAGTCACTTCGGGAAATATGGAAAAAGTGAAGTTCGAGATGCGTGAGGAGAAATATTCATGAAAGGATATTCAACAAGTTAAAAAAATAATAATAGAAGAAAGGACCTGCGAAAAGTGAACTTTTGCTACTACTGAATCGTAGACATGGCTGTGCATGGAATAACATCCTAATTTCGAGTCATAAGGGTAATCTTCAGCTACAGACTGTAAATTTGTAGAGAAGAAAACCAGTTCTAAGCTGATATTGAGGCACTGCAAAAATTTCGGGCGAACTTCTTTGAATATCGATAAAAATTGGAGAACAGTGTGTAGAGTATTAATCCAATTTTTAAACTGTTTTATGTCTGAAATGGTTGGACTTTTTTTGTTAGAGTCATGGTGTTCCTAGAAAGGTGACTAAACCCATGAATTAATCTGTACGACAACTTGAGGAGCTTTTAAATCACCTGCATTTCTGAAGGCGGTGCAGGTATTTGAATCGTACCGAAAAGAGATATCCTCGTTTGAAAAATCAGTCCGCTTTTTTTAGGCCCACCCAGTAACTGCCTCCCTTTAATTCTTGGAATTTGAAAGCTTCAAGATTGTTGAGAAATTTTCGTTGTCACGAATGGCTGAAATTAAATCGATTGTTCGTACACAAAAGAAAAGGTCATGAAGGCTATTTTGTTTTACATTATCCTCGATTTTTGGAAAGGTCGGTTTTCTGACAGACGCTTTGCACGTATGGCGTTTCCACGGAACCCGCTTTTAATGTATTTCAGCTATTTTTGGAATCGCTGGAGCCTCATGAAAAATTCTTCGTTGAATTTGGGATCGTAATGGAAAAGCCTGATAAAATTTGCCTCGAGGGACCGATAATGTTATTGTCGAGTAGCATGGGAGCGGAGATGCCCGCTTCCCTTTCTTTTTCGCCCTCCGGTTTAGTGAATATTTCATGAAGTCCGCGTAGATTTTTCCTCTCCTTTTTTCCCCCCTGAAAACGCGGCATAAAGACTCAGGTAAACAGGCTACTCCGCCGTTTCAAGTTTCAAATCATAGGTAACATATGGAAGATAAGAGGGCCTCCAGGTTATCTCGCCTTTAATTTCAAGCTTGCTGACAAAGTGAAGGAATAAAAAAAAAAAAAGTTACGTCAAACGAATTGAGCAACACTGTGCTTCATTTGCATATCATACAATAATTTATCAAGCCAGAAACGAATGCTTATCTAAAAAAGTAATTTTTATTCTACTGGTAAATGTTTATTCTAATTTTACTCAAACCTACATTAAAGGGGGAAAATGCTGGAAATACAGTACTTCTATGATAATCTCGGAATAATGAATTTTTTGAAAGTACCGAGAAGTTTAATCACTTGAGTACACATGTGTACGATTTTTTTTTAGGAATGCCATGTGCAGCAATTATTTAATATAATTAAATATTGCTTTGGCGAACACACTGGAAAAGCCGTGTTGAACACAATCGAGAATATCAAACGCGTTTATACACTGTGCATAACTATTAAAATTATGGGAAGAATCGTCTTGAAAATTGAAGTTTCTTTGGGAAATTTAATTGCCGGCATAATTTTCGGGTGGATAAACGCACGTAATGTTTTATTTAATACTTCCTGTTTTCCTTGTTTCTGAGTGTGTTCATGAACTGTATGAACATATATACTGTAACTACATAAACCTCTGCCTAAATCAAAATTCAGTTGGTGAAACGAGTCCATTTTCAGAAATATCAATTGTCCGAGTGAACCGCAACCGTTTTTCTTGTTATTGTTCTTTTTACTCAAGTAGGATCTGCTGCATTTGTTTTTGGTTTACATTTTCATCTATCAGTTTGATTTGAGCTTAAATACTGTATATACTGTATTTTTACTTATTCGAATGTCTGAAGATTGTTCATGTAAACTTCCGTAAATGTGTTCGAAGAATGATGCTCGCCAAAAATTTAGAAAATTGGCATAAAAAATTTTATATTCGAGTTTGACGCACACTCCACTCTTCGTTTTTTTACTTTTTTAAATTAAAAAGGTGTGTCTGGGTTTTTGAGTGAACACGTGAATGATTAAACACACTAACAGATAGCGTCAACGCACCCACAGAAGGATGCTAGCAGGCACAAGAAACCGCCTAAGGCGCAGGTTTTCTACGTATTACCGTTCCCTTCGTCGTCTTCGTAGCCGAAACGCGAGAATGCGCCAATTCCCCAAGTCGGCGTCGGGGCGACGCAAGGCCCAACATGGCGGCAAATCGTCACGGGACGCCAATGTGAGTTTTCATTTCAATTGTCCTACAATTGGTTCCCCACTTGACGAAACTAATCCTTTCCGGGATGCGTTTCATCGTACGGAATTTTATCGTAATGCAAAATGCGTTTTCCATTGAGGGTAGATTATAAAGTACCTGTGGTTAATTCGTTCGAGGCACTCACGATAAACCTGTATTTTAAACAGGAAAAGAATCAAACGCCGTACTTTAAAGTTTGAACTTTAATTAATGCCACCACTATTTAAATTAAGTCGAACCGTTCGAACACGTTTATTGGAAGATTTAAAGTGATTAAAATTTCCCAAGAAGAGGCAGAGTTATGCCATCCTTTTCGCACTTTTCCCTCGACTTTTTAAATTACCCGAGTTTAAGCCCAAAACTTGCTAAAATATGAATTTTTTCGCCCCAAAAGTTTGTAATCTAAATTTCTTGTTGCGCTCGTCTTTCGTTATGCAACGAGTCACTTTAAAGAGTGCAGTAAAATATTGTTCAAGTGCACCTCGTCATGAAGAAATACTGCCTATGACGAATTTGTTTGAAGTCCCAGCGAGTTAGTCAAAATCTGCCTTTTGAGTCCCGCTTTTTTCATACTGTGTAGCCATTTTTTCAGATTTTGATGACATGAAGTAACGATGAGGCTATACAGTATCGGTCATTTCTGGATACAGTTTGAAATGTTCATGGCATGTTGAAACCGGTATGATTCAAAAAGGCCAGCTTCTTTCTCTATTTTTTTGGCAAATGTGTCTTTTTTTAAATGAGGATTCACATTTTCACAATTTTTCTCTTTTTAAAGTTTCAAATGAACGTAATAACCATACTTCCGCTTCGATGAGAAGAACGCATGCACCATTTCAAAAACCTATATTGTCGACGTTTCTTCGAGAGAAAAAGCAGTTTTTCAGTACATCATGATGCATCATATGTACAGTACTGTATATTGCGCTTTGATTTGAACTTATTTTTTCCAATTGTGGAGACTTTTTACAAAGCTGGGTCAAATGACCGTAGCAAGTAAATCGTGAATGAAGGATGTTTTCTACGGAATCCGTGTGAAATCGGATTTTTATTGAGATGTTCATTTGGGTTTCAGTTGAGTAACTTTCCTCTTTCGTTGCAAAATGATATCTTCTTTTTTTTCAATTAATCGGCTTTATTTTAGTCCAAGGTGTATGTCCTTCACATCCTGGACTGAAAATGAACGTGAACTGAGTACTGGCCTGTAGTTACATTGACATCCGTTGGCCTAGTCACTTGAGTCTGTCGGCGGACTCGTGTTTGCCAGGAGCCCTTTGAAGTGGTTTTTCCTTCGTGTCCCGAATTTGCGGTGCACTTTTCCGAGTACGCAATTGTTCCGCTCGCGGAAAGTGCGTTTACAGCCCTTCCCAGTCTATCATTTGGTAATTTTCGGCATTTTAGTTTCGTTTAGTTGTCTGGGTTTCTTTTGGAATGCTGCAAAGAGAACAGTACAGGTTATTGACCAAGCAATGAGTCGGGATACCTCATGTACGCGTTTTTGAAGCGGAGGGGTTTTCAAAAAATTTTGGGAAATTATTCTGATTTTTTTTTTTTCGTTTGGGACCTTGAAAAAAAAAGAGTTTTGTTGCTATCGAAAATTTGTTGGACGGAATTAAAGTAGCGTTGTGACTATTGGACAGGGTCAAAAAAATAAATTCGAGCTTAAATTCGGTGAACAGTAATGAGATTCTTTGTGAAGAGATTTTACTTTGAATGCAAGTTTCGGAGTTCTTATCATCAATTCATAATAGCAATTTTTCCAATATTCTGGAGTAAAATCATTCGAATTGATGCTAATGCCCTCGATAATCTTTCTTAAAAACATGGATGAAATAATTTTTAGGTTTGAAGTTGGTCTTCTAAATTTAAAATACCCCAGAAGAACCTTTCAATGTGCCTTTGATTTCCGTCGTTGTATTCAGTGTTTTCTGAGAATCAAGTCCAGAACAGGCTTTTTTCTTGAAGGAGTCACACAGAAAAAAAAAAACCGACGCATATAACTGGAATCTAACGACACATCTGCAACTATGATTTATTGTAATTTTGTGGTTCGTCCATTGCGTCGGGGTTACGCGGTAGAAAAAGGTTCCCAAGTCCTTGTGCAAGCGTTTTTCTACCCCTAGTTTCCTTGCGAATCTGACTCGTACCCACAAAAAACGGCTATTGCAAAAAATACCTAAGCGCGATCACTCCTTCACAAACTACCTTTCTAAACATCAGCAACCGTTCGGTAAAACGAGGGCTGTTGTTTTTTTTTTTCTTCTTCATGTTTCAATGCATGCCGACCTTTTGATGATGATCGAAATGCTGGCGTGTGCGAAGATGCCATGTTTTACCAGCGGTATTTTCCGTGTGCCTTATTTGTGGGAAGACGCAAAAAAAAGTTGGTTGTTGGAAATGGGATCATAAATTTTACCGTACGTGCAGCTGTATGTAGAAAAGTGACGCCGCGTTATATTTTCTTCTGAATTTTAAATCGTCTGCGAAGGCTTCATTTTCTTGGTGCGCTTTCGGAAAATTGAGCTCACAATTCCTTGTAAATTATGAGGGTTTTTTTTACACGGAAAAGTATTTGTCAATTTTTTTGCGTCCAGTTTTTTTTTTCAGCTGCGAAACAATAATTAATGATGCTTTGGGATCGAACCTTATGTAATTTTTATGGCACCTCGAATGTTCTGGAAACAGTTCGATTTTATTCGCATACTGCAGCCTAACTCGTACCAACTCCCGAAACTTGAGATTTCATTCGATATGACCAATGTGTATTCGATGGAACCTATTTTCAGTCGACAGAAACAGAATGAACCAGCAATTGAACTGAGTGGGAATGATGATCATATGATTATCTCTTCGTCAAATTGTCTACGAATGCGTCGTTTCGGTAGATGGCTTTCATTGAAGATCATTTACGAGAACGATTTTGAAAGCACGTGGACAGTAGTTTTTATACCCGAAAAAAAGAACGTTAAGCATTTTTATATCCATTATAAGCAATTTTCAAGATTTTTTCTTGACTTTTAAAACTTTCTAAGAGGTTATTAGAAACGAGCTTCAATATTTTTGAAATCCGTTTTGAAAATTTAGAGAATTACGATTATTTTGAAAAAGTGTATGTGCCGCCGAATCATTTTCTGGTGAGTCAACGCAATACCGATTTTGTTGAAGTGCGACTACATTAACTCGTTCTTCTACAAAACTGTCTTTGAAAGAATCGATGCCCTAATTTTCATTGATTCTTTTTCCAGAGATTTGAATTCTGTAACCATTCATTTAATAGATTAGAAAATATGAGAGATTTTAAAAATTTCTACCGTATTTTCCACCGATTTGCCGCAAATTATTCATCGACCTTTTTTTCGTATGGGACAAACTTCTCTCCGAAAAATGCATCCATTTTTTAGGTGCAATTTTTTGTGTGGCAAAAGTGGAACGAAAATTTTGAAAAATCACGCGGAAAATATGAATTCCACCTGCGTTTTCTCATGAAATGCAGCATTTGGTCTTGTTCGTGTCTTTGAAAATATCGACTCCACTCGTTCAACTTTATTGTGATTTTTTTTTTGTTGGGTACAGGACGCATTTTTTTCAGAATCTCATGGTCATTTTCGCGGCTAATGCCGTTTTTTGTGCGTTAGAAATGCTTGTTTGAAATTTGAAAGTGGACGATGCTTGCACGCGTCCGGGTCGCTTGAATACAATAATTTATTGCACTTGAGAAATTAAATCTTGCTTCAATTCAAGTCAAGATTTTGCAATAGAGAAATTCAGCACTGAAGCACTCAAAAACTGGTATTCCCAAGGGATCCTAAATCCAGCGTATTTCTCGTACTGTATATCAGACGAAATGGAGCTTATTTCGGATGTGAGAATTTGGTTCGAAGATTTAAAAAACGAATATTTCGAACCCTTCATAAAAAAATCATGGATAATATAAGTTCCGCTTTGAAATCAACGCGGTTTTGTAACTAAATTATAAATTCCAGATGGCCGTGTGGAATGGATGTCTTCTGTTTGGTCTGGTGATGAGTCGACGGAATAATGACTCTGCCATTATCTTCTCTCGCATGCATGAAATGGGGTCGGGGTGAATGTCAACACCTCTGTACGCTTTCGGAATGCATGGGTTAGTTTCATGTGCGGCAACCCGACGAGTTGTATTGTACTGTTTGTTGCCGTGGTGTTTGTCGAGGTGAATTTTGCAGCAGCAGGAATGGCGGGGTTTCTCTTGTGTGATGAATAACTGGAATAGGTTTTCTACGAGCGCAATTGCGTGAATCGCAACGCCCCTTTTTCAGTTGACGCAGGCGGCCTTTTCTATGTGTTTTTCATTTTATTCATATTTGTTTGCAGTTATTTATTTTTTGTTTTCCTTTTTTCCGCTATAAATTATTCACAGGCGTCTCTCCGCCTTTTGTTGATGGTTATTTATTCCGTCACGAGCGCATTATCTCACGTGAACGAATCGCATGAGGGATTTTATTTTCTTGAGAGAATTCATGTGTTCACCTCGTTGGCGTTATGGTCTTTTGTGCACCGGGATTTATGAATAAGGTCTTGAACTTTGCTTTTCCGGTTCGGTGGAATTTCCGCAAAACTTCAGCGCCTTTATTCATCCATCCGGACGCGGGAGCAAATATCCCGAGGCCTTTAAACAAAAATTATTGATAGGCAGACATTTTTTATGAAAGCAATTCGACGAAATACGGCCCTTTCATTTTTCCTGCAATTTGCGCGTCCTTGCGGTTGGAATCTTCGTCGGGAGGAAAAAAGCATATATTTTGGCAACTTTTCGAGGTTGGGAAACATTTTCGTGTGGCATATGAGAACTTGGAAGTCTTTCCCAGATGTACTATGAAGATACACATTTTTGAATAATGTATTCTGTCCTGTGCGCCATCTCTTTTTTTAATTTCTGATTTTTAAAATTGTTCCTCATGGTAGAGAACGGTAGAGAATTTGAAAACTTTTCATTTAAATTTTTCATGCTGACATTCAAACGATTCGAGAAGTTTCACATTCAAGACGAATTTTCTACTTTTTTTTGTTCACCCTGTTTATTTATTTTTATACTGTACACGCCGGAAAAGTGTAAATTATTTTTTCATGAAAGTACATATACCGTATTTTGTACTACAATAATCAAATATTATCAATATCTAGTCATTTTCCTTGTGTGCAATTTTGGGATTTATGCCTCGTTTCCTTTTGATGGGGAAAATACAGGTTGGAAAACTTCATGAAGTACATGGTCAAGGACTTGCGTGTCAGAAACAAACACGACATTGCGAAGCAAGTTCCATTTATAAAGTAGTTATCTCGGACTTTATCTAAGTTTCGTCGCTCTATGGACATTCACTCCTTTCACGTGCTTTTTCTTAATGTGCTGAAAAAGATAACCTCCCCTCCCTTGAAGCAGATATTCATCTACTCATTATAGAGGTATAAAATTTGTGGACGATTGGCGTTCCTCGTTCGTTTGTAGTCTGCATTGGTTCATATCCGATACTCTTGAGAATCCAAGTCTAATTTATTTCCTTGGAAGCGATATAAATTTTCTGAAGCGGATATTTTTTTAACGTTATGAATTTTTTCGCGGAGATGGCTCAATTTCTCATGAGGAATTTGTAAACCGCTGCGTAGAAAAATGCGATTTTTACCGACTGCCTCCTGGGTGTGCTCTTTGGTCAAGTACCATGTGTGTGCAAAACAATATTTTCTGATCATGGGGATATGTTCTAACTACAAGGCACACAAAAAAATGGTGTTCGGTGTGGCTTATGTTGGAGTACACTGCACTGAAAACGTGTTTATTAATTCGATTTATTGCTTGTTTATTTGTCTTCCTAGTGGGAAGGAGGACCTCAGGGATTCCCGAACGAGGAGCATGGATTAGCGAGGAATGACGTGGAATACGACGGATTGGCGCCGCCGGACGCCGGCCAGGCGGACCTCGGTGGCGTCGGAGGTGGCTCTGTTGCTGTCGACGGCGCCGACAGCTGTCCAGTCCGGATTCCCTGCGTCATCAATGACGAGTACTCCATCGAATGTAGGCGCCTGGATGCCGAAGTCTACGTGCCATTCTCATTTTTGCGGAAATATTTTGAGGTGAGTTCTTTGTTGTTAGATCATGGGCTTTCTCACGGATCGGGGATTATCGTGATTACTCAATTACAATGCGCTTGGAGATTTTTTTTTTTCAAATGATCCCTTTTAAAGTTTCTTTGAAACACTATTGATGTGTTTTTTTTAGTATGGTGAAAAAATTCACTTCTTCTTCTTGTCGAATTTTTGTATAAGTGTGCTTGGTGCTCTCGAGTAAATGAGGCGCTTCCGTTTTTGTATGAGGTTCCAAACCTCCTTAAGTCGAATACCTCTCTTTTTCGAATTGTTTTCAAGTCTCTGTCTGAATTTCACCGGGGGAAAACGCATTAAAAAGTCTCCTTTGACTTGAAGGCTTTCACCCTTGGATCTCCATTGCTCGAATTTTCTGGAGGCCTTTTCGCTATTGCTATATTTCATTGACACAGAAAAGATAAAAAAAACAGTAAGATTGTAACTTGATATTTTCTGAAAGGAAGTGAAACACTAATCGGGCAAGTGAACCCTTGCTTCAAGATCAGCATTCTGTCAGCTCATTCAAGAAGCAATTTTAGGCATAGGATATCACAAATTAAAATTTCCTGTATTTTTTTCTCATCCCCAACACAAATGCTTGTTTCCCTGACGCGGATTTTTTTTTCTGGTTCCTTGAGGTTCAACTGTATTCGGTTTATTTGATGGCTGTGAATGATTTTAGGTATTCGCTTTGCTTTAACGAAGTCTGGCTAATTGATAAGTGTTCTGAGTTTCGATGTGATCCACATACTGTACTTATTTTTATTCTTAGCTTTATAGCGTTGTTTGGTCCAATTTTATAATTGTCTTACTCGACGCCATTTGTATAAGCAGGACACGCAGGTAACAAGGCATTGACGGGATCAATAATTCTCGCTGGTCGTGTTTCTCTTGACTCTAGCCCCTCTGTACTTTTCCTCAAGAAACACGAGTGGGGCCATGATTCATTCACAACCCCGTCGCTCCTCTCGCGTTTATTTTCCTCGCAGATCCGTTCCTTTTGCAAAATTCACACAAGCGTCGGTCACTATTGTCCAACACATCTGTTGTTGTTCTATCTTTTTTCCTCTCCTTGTTCGTCGCACGACGACCATAGACGATTTAGGTGAGCAATTACGGCTGCTTTTTCCCTTGTTCGTTGCCACACGAAGCGCAAACAACGGCCTTTTTGGCGAATTCCGCGATACTAGGGTATCTCATTAAAATTACACCATAAGCTGGTGTTGTTTTCTCTGCCATTATGTTAACGAATTTTTCGGATTCTGCACGCATTCGTAGACAACGGCGGGTAGTCAACTACCATTAAAATTCGATTAGGCTTTAGAAAGTTTGAATATACCGCAAGCGAGGAAGTCACATGCAGGCTGGATTGAATATAGGATCGAAATGGAAGCACGAAAGGAGTTACAGTACTGTACCTTATTTTCCATTGTAGAGACGCGTTTCAATTCTCTAGCGAAGTTCCGATTTGACCAGGTTGATTGAAGCGGGTTTCCCCGTGGATTTTAATTAAAAGTACGGTATCAAGTACTGATGCGGATCATAGATATCTGGGTTTTTTGAAAATTTTTCCTGGAGAACGTCCGGAACAGGAGTTATTGATATTTTCAGGAGATTTAGATGCGTGTTCCTGGTACTGTACGTCGAATTTAAAGCAGTTATTTAGTTACAGTATTACCCCTTCATGATGTAATTCTCAAAAAATCCGAAAACCATTACCACTCCGGAAATTTCAAATTCGTCGTTTTTGTTATGAAATGATTTGAGTTTTGCGAGGTTAATCTTAATTTTTTGTTTGCCACTTTTGCAGCGCAGGAGAAGGTTCATGTACCGCTTACTTTAGATTCAGTGTTACCAGGAACACAGTACTGTATTTTATTTTAATAAAAACTTTGATATCTTTTACCCGATTTATTGACGATAATTTGAAAACTCTGTGCTTTACTAGATAGTCGAGCACAAACTAAGCTGATGTTTCAACTGTAGGTTGCTTACACGTTCTGAATTTTCAAGAAGTCAAATTTATTTCTGGAAAACTATTTTCTTGAAAATGAGAAATCGTCTTTTGATTTAATTTCTCGAGTTTGCTTCGTATTCGCGTGGAATTCACAGTTCAATCATGTCGAGAAGATTGATCATGCTAGTGATTGAAGAAGGTTAGAAAATGGCACTTCAGGTAAAAGACTGTTAGCATTGTGAATTTTGTGTACAGTACTCTGAATTCTTCCTGTCTCCGACGTTTCTGCGGATAGTAGACCAAGAAAAGTCATCGTTTTTAATTATATAAATTATAAATATTATTTCAAATTCTAGATCATTTTGAGCATTTCTTCCCTGAATTCAGTGTGTTTTCGCTCTTTTATTATGTGGAAATTCATTTAAGGATTCTTCTGATAATTCATGGAAGAAATATAAAGGGATGTATGACGCATTCGTCATTCTATATAGATACTGTATGGTACATTATTTGGTTAATTAAAGATTTTAATTGCGTTTGTTGTCGGATAATGAAGTGGGTGCTTGTTGACAAAGACGCATTTGGTGGGCTTCACATTTGTTTTTGAAATCATATAAATCCGTTTTTGTTTGACGGCAAGTTTTTTATTTATTTAATCAGAAGGCAGGTCACCTGTCTGAAAGGATCTCAGATCCTCTCTCTATTCACCAGGTGCGGAGTAAAAAAAAAGAAAAAAAATGACCTCGACAAAAAAAAAATTTCTTGAGTCGCAAAAATTGTATTCGCTTTACCCTGTCAACCAAATTATTTACGCAGTAGGCACCTCCATACGCATCAAAAATTAATCTTGCAAATGATTGATCAACAGAAAAGATGTTCATTTTTCTCAGAATCGTTATTCTATCTCTCCAAAAAAAAAAGTTTCTCCGTAGTTAATAGACATCGGATGGTAGATTATCCGCTGAAAAGAAATGATTCGATTGATCAAAGCACCACTCTATTTTTTTGCTTCATTAAAATAATTCTGAATCTTGGAATAAATTTCTGCGCGAACATTTCCCACAAAAAAAATGGATACTTAGTTATTCATTCGTCGCTTCAGTCCAACCCGTTCACTCTTCATCCGTCATCCTTTTAGAATACATGCCCAACATGGCAAAATATCATCTGTCGTCATGAGTCACGAAAATCACAGCGTTCGAAACAAAAAAACAAGGTCATGAATGACGTTGATTCTCGACAATCAACAACGTCCACGCGAACCACGAAGTCCAGAAAAAGGTCACACCTCGACGTCAGAACCACGACTTCATGAATACAAAATGCGCCGTTGCTACTGTCAAGCAAGGCGTTCGCATCAATCATACCAACGGTGTTAATCTATAGAAGTATGAGTTCTGGTCGGGAACATGGCATCAATCTTTCATCGCTGATTGCTTCCGAGTAATCAAGCATGGCCCCAATGTACTAATTATAGCCCCGACTGAAACCACAATCTAGAAAAGAAGACGGGGAAAGGATATCTCGAATTATGTGGCTGGATAATCGATGAAGAGCATTTTCACGCCTATATAGCGTCGCGGTTTGAGAATTGCTGGGGTTGTACATGCGTTTCGATTTTCCCGCGAGATGGATTAACGAATAAATTATGTGACGATCATGCTGTGTGAGGGCTTGATTTGGGTATTGTTGTCTGGCAAAATGGTTTTACTGCATGAAACCTAAACTTGCTCTATCACAAGCTCTTGAGGAGATGACCTTAATTTTGCAGACTAATTTAGTTTTAGATTTGCTTCCCCTTTTGTTGGGGTCGCCTAAGACCAAGTGTACTAAATACCTTGGTGGAATAAAATTCGATTTTCAATATATTTCTAGACTTGCTTCATTATTTGAGGGATGTACGAAAATTTATGAAATTCTTGCAAAATGTATGAATGGAAAGACTTGAAAAGCCCCCCCCCCCTCTTTTTTTATAACGGCGCATACAAGGAAATCCTGTTCCTGTTGAGAAATAAATCAAGAGATTTTCATACGTGCTTTTGTCCATTGAAATTTTTCTCGTGGTTCCGTATAAATATTGAAAAAAATTATTTGTGCGCGGATGTATACTTTTCTAGGAATAAGAAAACCCAAGAAATGAAAGGTTCACTATTTTTCACTCCTACATAACATTCCTGTCGTAATCGAGGATCCCCAAAAGATCGCTTGTTCCATTCACCCCGGAATTTTTTTTTATCTCGATTTTATCGCGAACATAATTTTATTTTTTATATTCCTTATCTTCAGACATTGAGTGAAATTGCGCTGCAAAAGGGTGCCTCAAAGCTACCAATGACAATAAGGGTAGTTTATTTCAGGACGTTGATCTCGACGGGGGCGTTCTCGTGGAATTCACGGTTGTTTTAACTAATCCGTTCAATCCTGTCCCAAATGCTGGGGCTTGGAACCCCTCGGAGTGCAGGCGGTTTGATGTTTGCTCGACTCGTAATGTACGAACGAGACCCGTGCTGATCTGAGGGGTTCCTCAAAAATCTTGTGTGTCGCCGACGAATTATTGCCATAGCACACACATATACATGTACACAAAAATTATGCGTGTATGATTAATCGAAATTAAAAAATAATAATTTCTCAATTATACCCGAAAGATAATCGTGTTGGCGAGGGAAATTGTCTGAACAAGTGTGAGTAACCCCAATGACCATCAGACACATGACGGTTTTCTTCCTAAATTTTAAAAAGTGGACAGTAATGAGATTACGAGAAAAATAATGACGATTTGCTTAATGAATCTAAATAAAATAAGTCATCTAATCAATACGGTGATGTTGGAAAAATCCGTGAAGTAGTTTCCTTTCAACTAAGGTCTTCACGACGAGCAGAAATTTCCAAACATTATTCAAGAGTAAATGAAACAACCTTTCGTTAAAAAATATATAACAGAAGCTTTTCAAATGGTGTAGCGACTATTCGTTACAGGCTATTCGCAAATGCGACTTTTTGTTACGGGCAATTCATTACGGGCGGCCTTTCGTTACAAAACATTTTTGCTACTGGCACTACTTTGTAACAATCATGTATGTTACAGTAGTACTTTGTTACATTGCTCTTTTGTTACAGGCTACTTTTGTATCATTACAATTTTGTTACAGAAACACTATTTCGTTACAACAAAATAAAACCTTATTAAATTTTTAAAATTGTATTTATCAACTGCAAATTTTGAAATTTTTTTTGGTTGAAAGAAGTTGAAAATTGAGGAAGTTATAAATGAAAATAGGAAACAATTTCTAAACAAAAATGTGCCTAGGGGTGGGATTGAACCGGGTACCTCCAAGACTGGTTTGCTGCAACCAGCAAACCAGTCAGAATATACAAACAAAGGCCACAAAGAAACAACTTTTCAAGAGTCTTGCGGCAAAAGGCCAGCACAACTGCTGAAAATCGGCTGACAGTCGACACAAAACAGCTTCTTTAAAAACGTAGAGGACAAAAAAAAAACAAAGTTCCTCGTCGAGTTTCAATAAAATTATTTCTCGTGAAAAAGAAGTGAAAAAGAAATGCGTTCCAATAAAAACTGATTTTTTTTATTTATTTACTGAGAAACGCGATAAAATACTTGAAAGGTTATGGTTCAAGTATATTTATTGCATTCAAAACCAACACGAGAACTCCACGAATGAAATACATACAGTTGTTTTAGAAAAAATCGTTATGCGGAGAAAATATTTGTAGACGAGATCATCAGAATATACAAATTTTGGTTACAAAATGAGTTGGTAACATTGTCTTGCCTGAATCCAATGGTACACCAAACAAAATGTACCCGTAACAAAGATGAAGTGTAACAAAAACAAAACGTAACAAGAAATCTTTGTAACAAAAAGTGCTGTAACGAAAAGTCGGTAACAAAACGTTTGGTAACAAATGTGTCCTTGTAACGAAAAGGCGCATCTACGAAAAGCCTGTAACAAAAGGTCGGTAATCCTTTTCAAATACCTGCCATTCAAGCTGTCAAACAACACAACTTTTTTGAGAATGCAAAATCTTATTAAAATTGTATGGTCCTCAGAAAATTTCATGAAGCTTTGCTGGTACGCAGAAAATTGATTGGAAATTTGCCGATCGACAAAAATTTTTATGGAAATGTGCCTGTCTGTGGGACCAAAAAGGTTGGGGAACATTGCAATAGTGTGTATTATTAAATGGTCTGATTTCCATCAAGAGAATCTATTTCGATGTTTTAAATTTTTAGGAATCAATTCAAATTATTTTTATTATCTTGATTTTTGTCGCCCTGGGTTTCCGCGAAATTCCCGAAGAATTTTGAGAAACCCCCGAATATCGCACGGTGGTTGCAGGGGCCCACGTGTGCGTCCCAGTTTACCCCTGCTGTGCACACGTCAGGACACGAGACAGAGAAGAAAACTTTTCTTATTTCTTTTGTCCAAAAAGAAAAAGCTCTAGGGGGGTGGAGGGTGGCTGGTGGTAGATGAGGACCAAGCAGAAGGTTTACTCGGTGGTTTCCGTACCCATACGTGGGGAGTTTTCTTCTTTGAGGTTCCGCGTACTGTACCTCCCGGGAAATCCAGAGATTTGGGTGGGATAATTCAGTTAACTTATTTTGTGCTCGCTATTCTCCGCACTTGTCGTATGCGGAAGCGTGCGCATACAAAATTGACACGACAATCGAATCAACGATGAAATATTTGTCTTTGGAATTAAGGTGAAGATTTTCTTCTTTTTTTTTTACTCGGTTAGCTTTCATTGAATTGAAACGCGTGGAATAGAATCGTGATATGCCTCGGTATTTCGTGGACTTTTATCCTGAGAATATTATATTTTAAAGAAGTAGCGACTGGATTTATTCGATGAGTCCGAAAATTTCGGATTCGATAAAAAACACACTGAGCCGTTTTTGTTACGTGATCCTGCAGAAAAGTCTGGGATTTTTTGCTTCGGTCGCCCGAATCCGAAAAAAATACGATATTCATCACTGTGTTTTATTTTTCGGTGTCAATCAAGTGATAATGAAAACCATGCCTTTTCAAATACTGTACCTGATATTCTATAGTAATATTCCAGTTTCCGAATTCCCTCGTAATTATTACAAAATGTGCATGTCGAGTTTTCTTTAAAAATTTCTATTGGCTTGAATGGAAAAATAAATAATATTCTTTGCTGAAATTTTACGGTATTTTTTCGACGCAACGGCAATTTTAATCACAATTTTTGAGACGTTTGAGTTCTGGTGACAAATCTTGCCGTCGCATTGCTGATTTTTACCTTCCCTTTTAGGATATTTACAAATTCTTGAAAGAAAGCGTTTTCGAGTGGGAAAGAAAGTTATTTTTTCTGACAAAGCCAAACAACATTACTATTTAGTAGTTTTTATATTGTATTGGCGGCTTGTTTCTGTGAGTTTTCCGAAGTATCCGGAAGTTTTTCACTTTTTCGCGATTTGTAATCTGAAAATTGTGCAGGATTGGACCAAAACCTCGCCGTGTTTCTCAACTACAGTACTTCCGAGTTTTAGGACAAAGGATAATGTTTTCGTATTTATTAAAAAAAAAAGTTGTACCCCTTGTTCTTGTAAGAAGCAATCATGCACAGTGCTTAACCCGCGAATTTCAAAAGGCCATCAAATTAAACGTATGTATTTGATGCTTCCATTTTATACGAGATTTTACGAAGCCAGGTTAAAATAAAAAATAAAAATTGGTTCTTTTTCTGTGTAAATACTGAAAAATGAAAAGTTGAACTTGGTGTGGATTCCCTTAGCATGTCGTGCTTTTCGAAGAGTGTTTCGTCCACTCCAACATGACACGGTTTTTTTTTTTTTTTTTGTGGTTCGTGGAATCACAAGCGTGTGTAAAGACGAAACGTTTCGTGTTTTTCCACGCTGCAAGTAATTTTGAATGCTATTTTTACACGGCTAACATGGCGTGGTAAAAGACATGCATGTCGATAAAAGAGAATCGAACAAGCTTCCGTCTCTTACACTTTCCCCCCTTCATTCCCATACAGAATTTTCATGCTTATTTCGTCGCTTGGACGGTGCGGAAAATTTGGCTAGAAATAACTAAACCGAGGGGTTGCGAGAGATCATGATGATTTAATGCGGAAATTCAGCGTGCAATTTATGCTTTCGCACGGCAATGTGTCCTTGTTGCACGTTACCTGTTGAGAATAGCGCATGAGGAAATTACTGAGCATCAAGGGCAATTCCGGGGAGGTCTTGATGATGATGACGATGATGATGTCGAATGAACACGACCCAGGTTCGCGATAGCGGCTAACGGGGTTTCTCATCGATCCCGGTTTATCTTGAAATTACTGAGCATCAAGGGCAATTCCGGGGAGGTCTTGATGATGATGACGATGATGATGTCGAATGAACACGACCCAGGTTCGCGATAGCGGCTAACGGGGTTTCTCATCGATCCCGGTTTATCTTGTTATTTTTGCTTACTTCTTCGTCGAAATGTTCTTCTATTTTATTTTTTGGGAATAGGGAAGAAAGCAGGTGGACATGAGTGGCCGCAATTTGCGTGGGGGGGTTTCTTCGAGTATTCAGTGGTGAAGTGACCTGCAAATCTATGCAGTAATGCATGAAGAAAATAGAGAGCTCCGCATTTTGAAATTGCGTCGGTGGTAGAATCATGATAATCATTACTGCATACAGTACTTATTTTCATGCCGTAATCAGCAAAAAAAAATCGGAGCTTGGAATAAAACTCTGGTGCGGCCTATACGTGAGGTAATTTTCCTAGCCTTGAACGATGTGCCCTGTACTGTAGGTAATTCCACGGTTTTGTGTTGACATGGCATTTATTTTTAAAGCTGTTCATAAGCAAAATTACTGCATTTGTCCTGAGTGTTCTCGCCTGGAATCATAAAGCTTCAAAATAAGTTCTCGTCTGTCACTTGTCGCGAGCAATTAAAAATTCTGTGGTTGGAACGCATTATGCGAAATGATTTGCTTCATGTGTCAAAGATTCCCTAAAATATCATCGGTTCGAATGCCTTCTGAAAAAAGGTTTGTTTTTCCTTATGGGGAGATTTTCGCCTGATTTACGTGTTTTTTTTTTAATGAGTTTTAAGGTAATTTGGCGCAGGGTTGATTTTGGCCAGTAAACGTTTATTGACTAGACGTTGAAAATAGGGAAAATTGACGATGTTGATGCCGATGGATTGTTAAAGCAGATGAGTTGATTGTGTGCAAGATTTTCGTTGATGATAGCTTCATGCATGAAATACTACAACGGCTTTTCCAACATTCTCTCCGGGAATCCTGAAATTTCACCTGGCTTTAAAAATAGGAAGGCTTCCTCATATATTTGATGGAAAGTAGCCTTTCGTGGCCAGAGTAAAACCGTCCTTCTGGGAATTTTCGGTGCCTGACGCATGAAAAATCTGAGGTCATTTCATCCTTCCAGCGAATATTTTTCGGTCCCAGCGCTTTGTTCCGTAAAAAATGAGACTTTCTAGTCGTTCTCTATATATATAGTACGAGTATATTACGTTTTTTTTCTTCGTTTTCTCTTTTTAAAATGCTGGTGGGAAGTCTGTCGAAGTGACGGTGGAAAAAAGTTAGTATTCGGGTTCCCTCTTCTCTGGAAACTCTCTATTGTCACGTGAAACGAACTCACATCGATCATCCGCAAGAGCTCTTTTTTTTTCACGGATAGTATTTTCGTCCGCTTGAGGATCTGATGACGGGTTCTATTGTATTCAAACAATTGCGATAGGATTTCAGTTTTTTTTAATAGTGCTCTAATGAGAAAGACGGAGGTCAGTTAACAATTAATGTCTTTATTTCAATTCGTATTATTCATGACTGAAGCGAGTTCAGCTAATATCATTTGTTCGTGTGTGTCTACTTTCAATATATTGAATATCCCAGAAAAAAATGTTTCTTAAAAAGTAATTTTTTCTCCTTATACTTTCTATTAAGCCATAAAATGTATAAATTCGCCTTCGTAAATTATTTTCATTTGATTACATGATACATTTTGTGAGTCCTTATACCTGTTGAATTGGCCGGTACTGTAAACATTTACAACAGCATTATTTAAATTTGTGAAAAAAGCTTTACGAAGTCTTCGCTGTTATTGAAAATGCGGTATTGAATTTTCACTTCCAGCATTGCAAAGCACAATAATATTTACTGCTTCTCAATACGCGGTATTTCATACTTAAGCTGTTGAAGGTTTCAACGTGCTACCTTGAAGTATGTGAAATTGAATCTGATCAGTTGTGTTCTTAATTTTTTTTTAAAGTTGCGTAAAATACTAATTTGCAGGTAATTTCAAGTCACTCGTAATGGAGACCGTATTCCTACGAACTTCTTCAATCCCCTTTTGAAAATCCGCTGCAATTTCTTGTTTGAGTGCATTTATATTCAAATACGCTTTCTTTTTATGCAATTTGAATAATTTCTAATGAGCTTCCATGTGGTCCGTAATTTTGAAATACAGTATATGAAGTCCGCAGTCCGGGAGAAACCACTTGAAAGTTGGTCTTCTTTTCAGTTTACAATGTAATTGTTTTATATCGGATGGAATCGTGATTGTAAAATTCCTTATAGGAATGTATTTTCCGCTTCCCTCAATGAGCAATTGAAAATTTACTTCATTAGAATTACAGAATCTATTGATGTTTTTTTTTTTAGTACGGTATGCGTATCCGGAATCGCGTGCTCGCGTTTTTTTTTCACGACACCCTGTCATTTCTCTTTTGTACCCGACACTTTTTTTTCGGTTTTCTTTTGTGTTGGGAGAAGCTGTGATGAGAAGCTCTCCAGTGAGTCTTGCGCCAATTGTTGTTTTTTGGTCTATAGTCCTACGGAAGTGTATAGAGGACCCGTGTGATGCATGAAGTATTGTGCGTGATGATCGAATTGGTGGTACCAAGGAGAAGTGTAGAAGTGCTTTCACTCACCAGAGACCATGGAGGGCACTTCTAGGGAGGAGCAAGTGGTACTGTACATGCTCGTATTCTAGCGCCAAATGTTCTGGAGACCAGGGGGGGAAACGAAAAAAAAATGTTTTTCTTCCTGAGAGCTACGGAATTGGTCAACATAGTCATGCTGAAGCTTTTGACGATTTTTGTTTTTTCAAATCATGGCGTTATTCGTCAGCGAAAATTCCTTGAGAAATAATTTTGATCAGTCTGCCCTGACGGAATATCTTTGATGAACTGTGTCAAGTTATCTTGAGCCTTTTTTGAAGTTTGAACAACTAGGATCAACATTTATGTTCCCATGCAGGAAAACGTTGAGAATCTGAACAGAAAATGAATTTTCTTACTCAGATCGGCGAAGCATATTCATGGTGAAATTATAGCAATTCATCGACCGATTATCATTATTGGAGTTCGTCAAATTGTCTCGAGTCTTTTTGGAACTTGAAAAGCATCTGAACATGGTCAGGTTCAAAAGTTATAGAATGCATGGAAGCATTTGGTCATGATTTTGATTTAATTTAATGCATCTTAAACCAGCCTGTTGAATTGCATTTCGCGCTTTATTTTTTACAAGACATATTTTACAATTGCGTCAGGTACAAGGACGAGCATGATGGTTGTCCCAAATGCCTTGGAAATTGGATTAAAGTTTCGTGCGAATTTCAGCGATCGAAATTATCGAATGCACTGTTTTTTGAAGCCATTTGCTAATTTCTCGCACAATAAAGTGCCCCCCCCCCCCCCCCCCCCCCCCCCCCCC